GGCCTCAAGTCCAAGTCAAGTCCCAAGTCTTAATCCATTTTATCAAGTCAAGTCTCAAGTCCTAAAAAATAGTGACTCAAGTCTGACTCGAGTCCAAGTCACGGCTTTCAAGACCCCACCTCTGATGTGACTTGCTTTAAGGCAGTTCATAAAGTCATAAGATTTCTTGCATTTGTAGCATTTTTTGATCTTGGTTTAGTTCTGGTTTGGTCCTTATTTGGGCCTGGTTTAAACCCTAACATGATTTTTGGTTTCGGTCGTGTTCTAGCTCTGGTTTGGCTCCCAGTTTCTTCTAAATTTGGATGTGGTAAATATTTTCTCAAAAGATTAGAATCAGGTATGATATTTATACTTATTTTTTTTTTACTATTAATTTATTGCCAATACAAAGCACACCCACCTCACTTAGGCGGCTTTTTCATTTGGAATTGACATGTTTATCCCACAGGTTTTCAGGCTGCTCCACTTTTCCCTATCACTAAAACCAAGGCACTCCCCTAAATAAGTGAGTGAGTCCAGTTTAGTCTCAGTGGGACTTGCTTGGGTTATTAGAGGATAACTTTGCATTTCTAACATTACACAATTAAAAAAAAAGTCACCACATGCTTTCCAAGGGTTTCAGGGGGAATATAAAAAGTAGCTCTGTTTTCATACCAATTAACAGGAGGTGGAAAGTCAACGGAAAGTCAAAACCATACTTTCTTTCTGCATGGAGATAGATAAGTTTTATGTCATACTTTGGAAGATTATTACGCAGGCTGGCGCCACCAAGTGCCTCCAGTCAGTTTTATTTCTCTCCAGCGACTAGGTCAGCAATCAGAATACACTAGAAGGTTCGCAAAAACTCTAGAAGTGCGAGTACGGGCACCAGCCAATCAGCGAAGAGCCGCGCACTCTGTATTGGGAACGATTCTTGAGATTGAGGATTTAAAACCAGAACAAAGAGAATGTTCGGTGAATTTTATCAAGGAGAAAAATGTTATTGTCCTTCTTCCTACAAGATTTGGTGCATTACATACGTCACGACCAAACAGCAGCGACTGATTAAATAAAAAAAGTACTCACCTACTGTCGAGCGAACAAATCTTAATGCTGTGAGGTCAGACGGTTTCCACGAAGTGAAACCGGCTGATGAACCGAGCTAGAAGATTATAGCCAAAGGAACAACATTTCCATAGAAACAAAAGTAAAGTGGAAGCAGGCCCTCCTCCAGTTCAATCAGGTTTGTGGAGATGCAAGCTCATTCAGTGCAATACACACAACCAAAATGAAAAAACATCATCTTATTTTATTCATCCGTCTATTTTTTGGTGTGAATGCCACATACTATGGCTTTAAATCGAAAGAAGGAAGTGTAATATCTAATAATAAGTAATGTATCATCATATATTTTAAGTCTAGTTTGGGCCAAGTGCAGTGTGAAGGTGATTTGTCCCTATCCATTTTATTCCAGAAATTACTGTGGGCACCACCATTATCATTCGAGTTGTATTATTTGTTATGGGGCTACTGCTTAATAAAACAGCTGCTGATTCAATACGATTCAATAAAAAATAGGGACAAATCATGTGATATTAAAAGTCTTTGTTAAACCACTTTTTGTGCAAAGTTCATGTATGAAAAACGTGAATTTTTTTTTCCATCAAAACAGTGAAAATGTCAAATGCGTCACATAAACCAGTTTCCTTCCTCTGAACAAGCAACAAAACTGTAGCTGTAACAAAATAATTTTGTAAAATATACCAAAAAATACTCTTGACGATATATTGATACAGCAGCCCATGATATCGATACTGTATCATCACATTAAAGTTGTAAAAGTTGCATTATTTGTTATGGGGCTGTTGCTCTTGACGGCAAATAAGTTAAAAATGGACTATAAAGGCAAAAAAATCAGTGCAGTTTGATTTGTTGGTGCACATGAACATTGAACATTTTACACAAATGAACCAACTTTATGTCAAGTTTAAGACACAACACGTTTCCCAAATTCTCCATTGACTCGGTGTTACGGCTCGTGGCCCGGCTCCACTTCGCCCGGCGCTCCCCGTTTGTTTTACCGCTTGTGCCTTCCGTATTTGCATGTCCCGTGTGGTACCTGGTGCTTGATTGGTGGAGTGTGGTCCTGTCGCTGTTGGGGTGGTTCCAGTGTTTGTCGTGCCTCCAATCACCTTTCTACACATCCCATCGCCTCGTCCAGTAAAAGTCTTGTGCGCCTGTTCCTCCTCGTGGCTGGATCTCAGTTTCAGTTCACCGCACTCAAAGATTGACGTGTCTCTTGTTGTCCACTGTTTGCAAAAGTTGATTTGTGTGTTTGAGACTCTAGAGGTCGTTATGTACTTATCGTTTCCTTTTGTAATCGCTAGTTTGGCCTGGTCTTTGGGCATTTGTATTTTCTTTGAGTTATTTATCCCATTAGAGTTATTGTTTAGTCTGTGAACAAACAAAAATGTGTCTGTTTGCTGCAGGTGGGAGCAGGTAGAAGATGCTCTTGGAAAAAGGATCAAAACTTTAAACACAACAGACTCCAGACACTCTAAAGAAGTAAAAATCACTCGAGGAAAAATATAGTTAAAAGGCCTTTATTTAGACGACCAAAGCCAACATGTTTCGACCAAACTGGACTTCATCATGGCTCAGTTGAAGACAAGTTTGGTCAAAACATGTTGGCTTTGGCGACTCCAGGCATTTCTTTGGAGTGCCTGGAGTCCGTTGTGTTTAAAGTTATTGTTTAGTTGTACTGGGGCTTTTTGAATGTAAAACACCTTTATTTTTGTTATTTTACTTACTTTTACTTTATAAAGCCACTTACTTTACATCATGGAAATTAAATGGAGAGATTAGAGACAAAAGTGGAGCGGTGAAATAAGGTGGAGAGTTGCTGTATATGTATATATTTATTGTACATTCATATTTTACAACATATTTTTGTATCTGTTGTACGTTTTCTTCCATTGGGTTGGACGTCTGTAGTGTCCAGAGTTGGTGACAGTGAAATCCTCCAGACCAAGTGATCTGAACTTAAGTGATTGGATATTTAGATGACCTAGTTTTTCCCTCATAAGAGTCGGGGTTAATTGAGCTGAGATTTTTTGTGTGGACAAGGATTAGGGCAGGTTTAAGTTCTCGACTGACGGTTCAGAGTGGACTCTCGTTTACACTCACTGTATTCACGTCCCAGGACCGAAGACCGAATCCTGTAAACAAACAACAAGTCCATCTCACGCTATGTGGGTTTTTCAAATTGGAGTTTTCGTTTTAGTCTCTGGTCTGGTCCTTGGATTGGTGTTTGGACTGGTCTCCGATCTAGACTTGAATCTGGATTTTTGTCTGGTCTCTGGTCTGATCTAGTCTCAGGCCTCTAGTCTCTGGGCTTTGTCTGGTGTCTTGTCTCTGGTCTTAGTCTCTGGTCCAGTTTCTGCTCTGTTCTCTAGTCTAGTATCTGGTATCTGGTATAGTCTCTAGTCTAGTCTCTGGTTCGGTCTCTGGTCTAGTCTCTGGTCTAGTCTTTGGTCTAGTCTCTGGTCTAGCCCCTTGTCTGTTCTCTGGTCTAGTCTCTGGTCTCTGGTCTCTGGTCTCTGGCCCCTATCTGGTCTCTAGTCTCTAGTCTCTGGTTCGGTCTCTGGTCTAGTCTCTGGACTGTTCTCTGGTCTGGTGTCTGTTCTCTGGTCTAGTATCTGGTATCTGATCTAGTCTCTAGTCTCTGGTCTTGTCTCAGGTCTAGTCTCTAGTCTCTAGTCTCTAGTCTCTAGTCTTTGGTCTAGTCTTTGGTCTAGTCTCTGGTCTAGCCCCTTGTCTGTTCTCTGGTCCAGTCCCTGGTCTGGTCTCTGGTCTAGTCCCTCATCTGGTCTCTGGTCTCCTCACTGGTCTGGTCTAGTCTCTGGTCTTTGGTCTCTGGTCTCTAGTCTCTGGTCTAGTCTCTGGTCTAGTCTCTTGTCTTGTCTCTTGTCTAGTCTCTGGACTGTTCTCTGGTCTGGTATCTGGTCTCTGGTCTCTCTGGTCTCTGGTCTCTGTCTTGTCTCTAGTCTCTAGTCTCTGTCTCTGGTCTCTGGTCTCTGGTCTTGTCTCTGGTCTCTGGTCTCTGGTCTTGTCTCTAGTCTCTAGTCTCTGGTCTCTGGTCTCTGGTCTTGTCTCTAGTCTCTAGTCTTTGGTCTCTGTCTTGTCTGTCTCTGTCTCTGGTCTTGTCTCTGGTCTCTGGTCTCTGGTCTCTGGTCTCTGTCTCTAGTCTCTAGTCTCTGGTCTCTTTGTCTCTGTCTCTAGTCTCTAGTCTCTAGTCTCTGGTCTCTGGTCTCTGGTCTCTGGTCTTGTCTCTAGTCTCTAGTCTCTGGTCTCTGGTCTCTGGTCTCTGGTCTAGTCTCTGTCTAGTCTCTAGTCTCTAGTCTCTGGTCTCTGGTCTCTGGTCTCGTTTCTGATCTAGTCCATGGTCTGGTCTCTGGTCTCTGGTCTAGTCTCTAGTCTCTAGTCTCTAGTCTCTGGTCTCTGGTCTCTGGTCTCGTTTCTGATCTAGTCCATGGTCTGTTCTCTGGTCCCTGGTCTAGTCCCTGGTCAGGTCTTTAGTCTAGTCCCTCTGACCTGGTCTAGTCTCTGCTTCCTGCTCTCTGGTCTAGCCTCTGGTTTCTGGTCTCTGTTCTCTGGTTTCTGGTCTGCAGTCTTTGGTCTAGTTCCTGGTCTCTGTTCTCTAGTCTCTAGTATCTGGTCTAGTCTTTAGTCTCTGGTTTTCTCTCTGGTCCAGTCCCTGGCCTGGTCTAGTCCCTGGCCTGGTCTAGTCCCTGGTCTGGTCTAGTTTCTGGTCTAGTCTCTGGTGTGGTCCTCCTCACACATGTCTGGTGCATGTTCTTTGTTTATTATGTTCTGCAGTTTCATCCCTGAGTCTCTGTGTTACGCTCCACAGACTCACATGTGCCACATCTGTATTTTTCTTTCCCCTCGTGTCTGACCCGATCTCTCGTGTCTGACCCGATCTCTCGTGTCTGACCTGTTCCGTGTCGTTTTCTCCGCAGATCTGACCTCGTCTCCTCAGCTGGACCTGACAGAGCTCATCGGGGTCCCTCTGCCTCCCGCCGTCTCCTTCGTCACCGGGTTTGAGGGTTACCCCGCCTACAGTTTTAAACCCGGAGCCAACGTGGGGAGACTCACCAAATCCTTCATCCCCGACCCGTTTTATTACGACTTCGCCATCACCGTCACCGCCAAACCGACCACCAGAGCGGGAGGAGTCCTGTTCGCCATCACCAACGCCTATCAGAAAGTAAGAACATAACGTCTCCTTGGTTTGAATATCAGAAAGAAAGATTTAAAGGTTCTTCTGATATGCAAAAATGTCTCTTGTCTCCGGCTCCTTTTGACTCTGGCTCCAATTGGGATCTTGTTGTCTCTTTCTCTGTAACTGCTGCAGTGAGTTTCATCATTTTGGTCTTAAAATGTTCATATTAATCCGCTCTACATGATCCTGAATTTTTCATTTCAATATTTTGTCCCTAAATCAAGATATGAACATAAATAATGGACCAATCAGATGCCTTCATTTCCCGAGGTCACGCCCACTAACGCTAGCAACAGGTTTGATTGACAGATAGTGCATTTCATTGCTTAGTAAGCCCCCTTCTCGCTTTCCGGTGAGAACAGCCTCAATCATGATTGGCTCTCCTGGTTGTTATGATACTTGCCGTTGGATTTCCAAATATGAGCCTGGCTCCAAATTCGCTCCTGTAACTGTGGCATCAGGAGCTTCGTTTGAGTGAAGCAGAACACTGTGGGTGACGTCACACTCGCTGAGTTCACTTTTTTGTCTGTGGTTATAATGTTGTTACTTTGTCCAAAACATACCTGAAGTTGTGTTTTATTTTTTCATTCACACATTTGAGTTACTCTTTATTATTAGTTTGTTGAGGTCTAAATGCTCTGTTCCACTTTGTGATGTCATGAAGCAGTAGTTTTCAATTTAACAGCTCCTTTTACCTTTAGTTCAGTAGAGATTGGCCATTCCAGATCTGAAATCATCCAAATGATTCTTGTGAAGGTGTATGGACTTCAAAAACAAAGTAGAGCAATTCCTCACCACATGACATCACAAGGTGGAACAGATTGTTTTCTCTCCGAGAGAAGAACTCCTAAAGCCTAAATCTGCAGTATTTGTGTGTCAAACATGTGTATGAAAAAACACAACTCCACATATGTTTCTGATGAGGAAACAACATTATAACAGAGATCATAAAATTACCATAAGTTTTGTTACAGTTTTGTTCTATGGCTTACATATGCTTAAAGGTGCACTGTGTACCTTTCTGTGTAAGTTTTTTTTACCTGCTTGTCTCCATGGAGATGGTATTACTTTGCCTGTAATGTTGAACAGTACGGTTAGTTAACTATCAACCACCAAGACATGTTAGAGCTCAGATCTGTGTCAGAGTCCTGCATGGGTTCATTTTTGAAGACCCGCACCCGTGCAGTACAGTACTACACCCGCCCGTTAACCCGTGATTATATCAAAGTTAAATCCGCACCCGTTACTTGCCTGTGATAAATCGGGGTCAGCCCATTAGTCCAATAGGCCAGTAGTCCAGGACAAAACCAGGACTAAACCAGGACTGAACCTACACCGTGTCATTAGCGGATTATAAATGTAAACACACCGCAACCGCAGAGCTGATCACCAGGACTACACCAGGACTACACCAGGACTACACCAGGACTACACCAGGACTACACAAGGACTCGACTAGGACTGAACCAGGACTAAACTAAGACTGGACCAGGACTGAACCAGGAGCGCAGCCGCCAAGCTGATCACTAGCCGCCCGCATTCTTGCCTGTAAAATTCCAGAACGTTAAAACCGGCCTGTTTTAGCAACTATTTGCAGGACTCTGATTATGGTTTATTTGTTAGTTTGTTTTTCTGTAATAAAACAAAATAAATGCCATACTGTGGAACATTCCAGGTAGAGCAATAACATCCTCACGGAGACAAAAACATGTCTGACCTCAACAATGTGCAGCTCTAACTTAAATTGCGCAGCCAGCAAGTGACCAGTTCCATGTGGTATTTATGCTCTTCACGAAGATGGACGTCAGGATGTGTTGAAGATAATAATTGCAGGACAGTAATAGCACGCTGGCTTACTGCGGGCTTCTGTTCATATTATTATCGCGAGTGTTTCCCGGTCACACTTTCACTCACCGTGTTATTATTGAGCTGTGACGTGTTTTCAGATCATTAAGGACGACCACATCCCGCCAGATCTGCAGCCTGTACACTTCACACAAGAACCGGCAAAACATAAACATTAATATTGTGAATGGGCTCGCCACTCATCCGGTAATTTATTGCGGTCACTCGATTGTTTCCACGGAGACAAACGTGCGTCAAAAGGAAAGGAAAAGTTAAACAATGCATGTTTAAAGCAGAACTAAGTAACAAATTTACTCTTCACAAACAGACCTGGAGTTGTGTTTTTGTTCCATTCACAAGTTTAACACACAAATATGCATATTTAGGTTCCTCTCTCAAACAGATAGCACTCTGTTCCACTTTGTGATGTCATGTGGTAATACAGGAAGTGCTCCACTGTGTTTTTAAACTTCATACACCTTTACTAGAATCATTTGGATAATTTCCGATCTCATAAACAAAAGGTAAAAGGAGCTGTTAACTTGAAAACTATACTGCTTCGTGACATCACAAGGTGGAGCAGAGCATTTTGAGATGTAGACCGACTAAAAATAAAAGATTACCGTATTTTTCAGACTCTAAATCACTCTGGAGTATAAGTCGCACCAGATAAAAAATGCGTAATGAAGAAGAAAAAAACAAATAGAAGTCGCACTTTTTGGGGGACATTTCTTTTATAAAATCAGAGACCAGGAACCGACATTTCATCTTCAAAGTCAAGTTCTAGTAAAAACAATAGAAGAGAGAACAACAGCCTGTTAACGTCACATATGAACAGTTCTTCAGATAAACTATAACATAAACAACAGAACAGAACAAGTTTAACAAACTCTCCATCTCACTCCAAATCACTAAATCCATTCAATTCTTCATCCTCATTGTCACTTCTGAGCAACTTCATGACCTCCAGAGGTAAACAGAGCATCGCTTCTTCTTCTGTGTCGCTGTCGTCAGACTCAACATCAGTTCCAGTTAGAATTATTCTGGTCTTTTTGACTCCTGACAGGATGGTTTCATTTGTCTTTATGTTTGTTTAAATGTAAAATTTTCAGTGTTACAGAAGTAAAGGTGCGATCGACTGACATGATACAGACAGGACAGAGGCTCTTTCTGCAGGAGACATGCGCATTAGAGTGAAGTGACAGTGGTACAGGAGGAACAGGAGCAGCAGATACTGACACACAGGACTAGAACGCCCTCTTGCGGCTGTCAGTGTGAAAATTTTAATATATAAATCGCAGGACCACCCAAACCATGAAAAAAAGTGCAACTTATAGTACGAAATATATGGTAATAATAAAGAGTTGAATGAAAAAAAACACAACTCCAGTTTGTTTTTTTTGATGAGGAAACAACATAATAACATGGTTCACAAGAGTCACTTTTACATAATATTGAATTATTTGATTACTTTTTCCTTGTGGTGATCCAAATGTAAATGACCTTTGACCTCTGTCCGTGTCCAGATCGTGCAGTTGGGCATCTCTCTGTCCGAGGTGGAGGACGGCGCTCAGAGGGTGGTGCTGTTCTACACCGACTCCAGCTCCAGCTCCACTCAGGAGGCAGCGTCCTTCAAGATGGGAGACATGACCGGACGCTGGGCTCGCTTCACCATCACCGTACAGGGAGCGCAGGTCAGAGCCCGTCCTGTTACACCACCGAGATTATACTTTTAATAATTCACTGTTTTTGCATTTTTGACACTAAAATGCCTGATACCAACACCATATTGACAATAAAAAGCTTATTTTTCTTATATATATAGTGTGCAAAATAATTTAAGTTTAATCTGAAAATATAGTTTCTTTAATGTTGCCATGTGGGTTTTTGCAGTTCTGATATAAAAAACATTATAAAACTTTTCATTATGTGATTTTTAACAGTATCAATTCTTGTTCAACTGAGTATTTAGACTATTATTATTTAGGCTATTAGTTAAGTTTAGTTAAGTTTAATTTAAGTTAAGTTAATTAAATTGTATTTTATTTTATTTTATTAACTTTTATTTTTATTTTTTTATTTATTATGTATTTATTATTTATTATATATTTTATTTATTTTATTTTATTTATTTATTTATTTATTTATTCATTATTTTATTATATTTTATTTTTTTTATGTATTTATTTTACAAGACTTGACAATTTAGTAATGTTATGTTCATTAATTCTTTTGTTAGCTGTCTTAAACTTGCTCCATCGTAGTCATGATACTACTACTTACTACTACTACTACTATATCAGTATGCCAAATTTTAACCTCATATCACATTTAAGTCCTGTAATTTACATTTTAATATTTGGTAGTCCATATAATAAAAATGTGTTACTCAATAACGTACAGTTCTGCAAGAAAACCATTACACCGACCAAATAATTAAACTCCAGATTGTCAAATGAAATACAGTACAGTATTTTTTTAAGTGGAAGTGTGTTTTTGTGTGTTTTTGTGCTGCAGGTGCGCTTGTTCATGGACTGTGAGGAGTACCATCGTGTGGATTTCTTCAGGAGTCCTCAGCCCCTCACGTTTGAGGCCAGCTCCGGGATCTTTGTGGGGAACGCCGGAGGGACGGGGCTGCCCAGATTTGTGGTAAGTTTATATTTTTCAGGGTGAAAAAATGCATAGCACACTCGGTTGGCCGATGTCCAAATACTATTTTATTAACAAAATAACGTTTCGGCAAAAAAAGCCTTCATCAGATATTTTTCTTGTCTTGGACCACAGCACACAAAATGGTTGCCAGCCCAGGTGCCCATATACCCACTCAATGAATGGAAGGTCCCAAAGTGAGGTCACCCAGTGAGTTCAGCCCATTCTACAACAAGAAACAACAGTTTACATTAAAAAACATTTTATAAAATACAGAAATAGTTTGTCTATCACAAAAAACATCTTAAATCAAACTCCACATTCAGTCCATGAGGAGTAAGAGTTTTAAGATGGTGAATCCAGAAGTGTCTCTTTTTGACAGGAGCATCTCTAGGTTACCACCTCTAGGGGGCAGTTCCACATGTTCAATGCCAATATATCTTAAGGAAGAGATAGGATGGTTAAAATCAACAAAATGAGCTGCCACAGGATAGTTCATGTTTTTACATCTGATTGTACTCCTATGCTCTGCAATCCGCTCTGCAATAAGTTTATATTTTTATCTATGAATGCGACATGACGACAAATGTTTACATGTCTAATATTTCATAGTGTAGGAAATAACATCCAGTTCTCATACTATGGTGGACCTTTTTTCTTTTCATTCATTTCTGTATTTTTCATCTTTTAAATTCATATATTCATTCACTTCATTTGTTTTGTTTAATGCGCCTTATAATCCGGTGCATCTTATGTATGAAAATAGATGAGAGAATTCAACATTATTAATATTGCACCTTATAATCTGGAAAATACGGTAGAAGTATTTCTCTCATATTCTGTGTTGTTAATTTGTGTTAAATGCATTTTGGTTAACAGCTGTGATGTGGATCAACTTTGTGATTTTTCTCATTAATTTTGTGTGTTTATTTTTGTTGGATCAAAACCGAAGCTCGAACTGGAAACCGTTAGTCAGGATCTTACTGCAAAAGTACTTTTCTAATAAGAATAGTACTTTTTACTTTTCAATACTGTTCAAAAATGTAGTACAGTAGAACGTACAAATACCTGCTCTCAAATGTAGTGAGTGAAATGTAATTAAGTAAATCATTTTATTTGTTTGAGCAAGGTACAACAAAATGACAAATGACAAAATGACAACAACAATGACAAAACCAAAGCATATGTACATGTACATATTTGGGACCTGGTGCTCAAAAAGAGTAAGATGAAGTTTAAAAAGTATTTAAAAAGCATAGTAAAAATAGTCTCCTACACCAATTGTTTTACATAATTACGTGGAGGATTTATTTATTTATTTATTTATTTTTCTTCTGGTTGGACAAACTACTATTTATAATAAAGAGGACACAAAATGTATCGTTTATTAGATAAATAACATAAAAAGTAATATTAAAGAAAAGCATGTAATGTTAAAGTAAATTTTACTTAAGTACAGTTCTTTACTACTTGTACTTTGTTACACCATTGATACTAAGCAAGTGGCAGACCCTCCACCAGAAAAGTTACATAGTGCAGCTTTAATTTAGACCGTTACCATTATTATGAACACATTTATTTACGTTGTACGGTTGTATTCAAAGGAGCCATTGAAGCCGTACACAATAGACTTTGTTGAGCAGGTTTACAGTCACTGAGGGACTCGTCAGGAGAATTACTGCATATTTTTATTAGCGTTCAATGGTTTTCTGAAAGCTCGTAAATGTCAGACTTGTTTTGATTTAGATGTATCAAAAACAGCTGACTCCTGTGAGGGCCAAAAGTGTGATTAAATATAACACGTTTAAACAATACACAGAAACGAACGGGCTGTTGTTTGCTTAGTGGAGTGTCGTGTACTGAAATGCCCCGGTGTGGTTTTCACTGCATTTGTGATGGAAAAACTTTGGGAATGTTAAAGTTAAGAGGGAATCTGGAATACCATAATTTATCCTCAGTGCTGTAGTAAAAATAACTGTAAATAGTGTTAAATCTGGAGGAGTTTAAAGGTGCATTGTGGTGAAGAGTCCGTCAAATGATTCTCTTCATGGAGATGTTATTGCTTTGTCTGGAATGTTTTACAGTGCGGCATTAAAACTTTCGTTAACACTTTATAATAATGACACCTTATTTAGCCTTAATAAAGCATGAACAAAGGCTTATTTAATAATGAACAAAGACTTAATTAATAATGATTCACACTTAGTAACTACTTAATTACTACCTTAATTAGCACTTGCACTTAATTTGCCTGTGCTATAAATAGTTACTCATAATTATTTCATACTTAATTACTCATGGATTAACCATTTGAGCATTTATTAATGATTAGTAAGCTAAGAGAGAATGATTTACTAATAATGCAAAGCAATGATAATTCAGGCAGTGTTATCTGTTAGTTAAGTCTTTTCTAAAGTGAAGACTAATTATCCTTTATTAAGCATTTACTAAGCGTGAATCATTATTAATTAAGTTATTGTTCATTATTAATTAAGTCTTTGTTCATGCTTTATTAAGGCTAAATAATGTGTAGTTATTATAAAGTGTTACCAAACTTTCTATTTTCATGGAGCTCAAACCAGACCAAGTTACAGGTCAGCTCTGTGGAGAGTCGAGAGCCCCGCTCACAGTTAGAATACCTGTTTTTCTATATTTTTAAGAAATAAAACCATAAGTAATTTGGGTCCTGTTTTCACGTACACGGGTATTTTTAAAACTGAGATATTTCCCTTCGTTTGTACCCGTCTTTTACACGGAAATGCCAAATTTGCCTCTGAAAACAAACCTTTAAAGTTCTCTAGAGTGGAGATTCTGGAAAGCTCCGGTTTGGTGTTTGTGTGTAAAGTGAGATAAATGAAGTTTTAGGAGCTGATGCGCCAAAAGAGCGACCAGTGTTTACCTTTTGCTCTGATGATGATAATGATGATGAAGCATCAGAGCAACAGTCGCATTTCTTCTGGTGCAAACACTTTTCGTGTGTTTGTATTTGCACACACAGCTGATGTTTTATATCCATGACCAGAGACGAATGAGGCTCAGAGGTCAACAATTTTATTTCTTTAACAGATCTGTGGAGAGGCGAGCCACTCAGTAATGCACATTTTTAAAGGTATTTTTGAGTAATACTTACAACTGTAATGAAAAAAATGCTACAGGATTGAATCTAATCCAAGTTTACCTGGGCTGTGCAAAAATATCGAAATATCCTATCGTTTAATGTGATCATACAGTATCGATATCGCGGGGCTGCTGTATCGATATATCGCCAAGAGTATTTTTTGTTATATTTTAAAACATTTACTTACAGAGCTGCAGATTTGTTGCTTGTTTAGTGGAAAGAAACCCGTTTATGTGACACATTTGACATTTTCACTATTTTGATGATTAAAATGTTTGTGTTTCATATTAACTTTGCACAAGAAGTGGTTTAACAAAGACTTTTAGTGTCGCAGCCATGATTTAGCCTTTATTTTTATTTGACCGTACTGAATCTATTTGAAATATACTGTACTGAATCGAAAGTGCACTGTATCGAGATTTGTATCATATCAACACCTTCTAGTTCTAGTTAGATATGACGGCGCACGATGGCGTATTTATTTGGGTTGACTTTTTTGAAAACGATGCTGTGTGCACGATGTTATTTTGGAAAACTGAAGGAGCTAAATATTAGTTTCTCAACATACCCAGCGATGTGTAAATGTAGCTTTAATAAATGTAAGGCAGAGCTGTTTAAAGTCATACTGTGGAACATTCCAGGCAGAGCAATGACATATCCATACAAACAAGAAGATGATGACAGGCCTCCAACCCAAAAGTTCCACAGTGCGCCTTCAAAGACATGTTTTTCTAGACAACAGTGATGAAAACATCCAGCCCAATGTGTTTACATAAAGAGAAAAGTGTAAGCATCTGATAACTTTTTTAACAAATTAACTCCATACTGATTTCTGACATATGTTTGGTTGGAATCATATTTTATGACAGTCCGACACATTTGCACTAAAACAAGTCTGTAATTATCACAGCGGGGGTTCTAGTATTGTACAAGAACTGTAAAAGTAACCCCAAAAATATGACGTTATACATCATGTTTGCTTTTTCTTTGAATTTGCTTTACATGCAATTAAAACCACAGTAGGCGCCAAAAAATAGGCTAAAATAAAAGCACGTTCTGTTTTAATTTGGGATGATTTATGCACCGAAAAACATAGAAAACGTGCGTCCTTATTGTGAAAGAGCTTGCGTCTCCACAACCCTGACTCATTTTGTCACAGATCTGACCCGTAACTCGTGGTTTGATCTCGGTGGTGTTACATTCTTGTCTCCACATAGAAGTTTAATGCCGTACTGTGGAACATTCCAGTCAAAGCAGCAACATCTCCATGAATATTAAGCAACGATTATTAAGTGCTCAGTTTTGTTAGTAAAGTAAAAGTACAGATACAAAGGCAAAAAATTACAAAAGTAAAGGTACCACATGAAAGTAAAAGTATTAAAGCATCCGTTTAAAAATGTATTTCTCTCATATTTTGATAGTGTTGTTAATTTATGTTGACTGTATAGACTAAAAATTATACAGATTTTGGTTAACAGCTGCGAAGTGAATCAACTTTGTAATGAATTGTGTGTTTTTAGTTTGTTTGGTCAAAATCGAAGCTTGAACTTTAAACCTTTAGTCAGGATGTTACTGCAAACATGATAAAAATAACCTCAAATCATAAGAAAAGTACAGTGCAGTTAAAGCATGTAGTACTGTAGCACACACACACTCACACACACACACATATGAACACACTTAGGCTACGTCCACACGACAATGCTCCTGTATTTTATTTTTTTTTACGAGCTGAAAAAAATTTGCGTCCACACGACAACGGAGCAAAACGATGTAATAAATATGCCACACCTGTATGTGGCGCTGTTAACAATGACAATAATATTTATATTAATAATATTTCAGAGGACCCTGGAAATGACGGGGTCGTGATGTTATCGTT